TATAGCTGATTACTTAACAAACACCTTTTAAATTCAAATTTCTTACTTCGTGCAAAAACTATGAAAATTCAGAAAATTTTAGGCAACATTTTTAACGTTTTATTCAGGATCTTTAAAAATTTTAAATCTTAGTATAATAAGGTGCAAATTTAAAGTACCAAAATTGACCGTTGGCTTTTTGCAATTTTTTGTTGCATTTTTTCTATATAAAAAACTTGACGAACATACTGTGTATGGAAAAAATGCGTACCACCGTCATAAATCAACGAAAGGTCCTAGCTAGTTCAAATTTGCACCATTCCAAATTTCGCAGAAGTTTCATAATTTTTGGACAAAGTCTGAAATTGGAATTTATATGGGTTTTTTTTAAGAAATCAACTATAATTCCATAAAAAATAATAAACATTAATAAATAAACTAAAGAAAAATAGCCAAAACTTGCAAAATTTCGAGTCGCAGTTTATATACAGTATTTTTTCCAAAGAACGTAGTTGGGATTTTTCCATACAATTTTTGTTATGAATGTGTTAAATTTAAGTGTGCAGTTTTAGTCTCAATACTTAGAAAATAACGAATGAGAATAAAAGGGCACGAATTGCGATGTGAAGCAAGACTCTCTGGGGAGACAATACCTGTGAATAATTGTGTCATGGTGCCAACCAGAGTGCCCAAAATTGGCCAATTTAGCGCCAATTTGGCGATTTTTTTGATATTTGCGGGTCAATATTTTATGCGCTATCATGTAAATGCGTCGAAATACGTGATAAGTAGGTTTTGGAGATAGAGCTTTAATTTTGATGTGGCAACACTTTTTATTGCTATGGATTTTGTTGTAGCATATATTAAACCACCATTTGTGCCAGCTCCCGCTGAATGTGAAATTTGCAATTTCATCTGCGAAAATAGCTGATCTCGCTTTATTATAGCTTTTATTTTATTTTCGCGCCGAGCGCTTAAAAGCGTATTGTGTAATTAATCATTTAATATGAGTTATAATAAATTTATTAATTGCGCTGTCCTATTGGGAAATGTGTTAATACAAATATTTTTTAAAAGTATGAATATTAAAAAAAAAAATGTTTTGTACACCATTATCACATAAGTGATTTGTGTTATTTATTATTACCCTGGCGATTTTTTTCAGAAATTGCTCTTTTCTTTTTACCCCCCTGGGCACCCTGTTGCCAACATAATTTATTGTTGCTTATTATTGCTCTCTGCCAGTCATGTGCAGAGTAAGCAGTTCTTTAAAAACTGGAATGTTTCTAATATATCTATTAAATAGTTTAATTGTAAAAAATTTAAAAAGCGACCGACTTGTTCGATATAAATTGATGGCGTTTTTTTCTCGAAAAAATGTTGCCGTTTTCCTCAGCCCTTCACAGCTTTGGGTGTTCGTTTCTCAAAATATTGCCCTCCCACTAAGCTAAAGTGCAATACTTTATACTAATATAGCCATTTTGCAGGTCGAAAAGTAACCCAGTGCGAATGGTGCATATGTATTAGGGATGTCAATTTTCGGGGTTTTGTCGATCCCGGGATTTTCGGGATCTGAAAATATAATCCCGGGATCCCGGGATTGTCCCGAAATTCAGGTAACAGTGCAACACATCTGTGATCATCCTATTATAGTATTTTAAATCAGATTAATATAACAAAAAAAAAGTACAATTTATTTTAATTCATTTACATATTTATTAAGGCGATAAATCAGTATTTTCAATCAACAAAAAACAAACATAAAAATTTGACAAACATATATGTATGTATGTACATATCCTCATTAATTTATAACATAGTTTTTGTACTACAAGTACAAATGCATATACGGTCACTCCCAGAAATATTTTGCATAGATTTTTTTTGCAATATTCAGGATATTTTTCATGGTATTTTTTTTTTGTTAATTTAAAAAAATATATACGTATGTGCAATTTTGAAGTTGTTAAAACATCCCGTTGACATTTTATATGTTTTTTTTTTTGCCACAAAAAAATTCGTTATAAGGAAGACAATGCCCAACATCGTCAGTAAAAAAAAATTCAAAATGAAGGGAGTTTTTAGCAACTTTAAGATTGCACTTTATTGTATTCATTATAGAATTTTTTTTAAATTATGATTAAAAAGTTTGATATTTTTATGATAATTTGGTGAACTTAAACTTTCTCTAAAGTGTGAAATTTTGATTTACATGATTTTTGTTGTAAAATTAGCTATATATTTTTTTAATTAACAAAAAAATACCATGAAAAATATTTTGAATATTGCAAAAAAAATCTATGCAAAATATTTTTGTAAGTGACTGTATTTGGTACAGCAGTAACTGCCTATGTAACTATATCAAATTTTTTAAATCACTGTTTGAGATCAATTTAAGATATAATAAAAAAGTTAAC